AATTTAGGTAGAATGGGTCTTAATGGTCCCTTATTGGTCCATTTCGTGTTAGTGGATATAATGCGCTATTTATCCTTAAGGAGTCCAAATGGGTCAAAATGACACAAACTAGGTCATAATTAGTCTCATTAGGCCCTAATGGGTATAAGTGCCCCAGCTCTTCTTGAGGAGTCTATGTAATATTCAGGTTACGAGTTTTGATTTAAGATTTTTGAATATATATGTATGGAGATGGGATGTGTGTGATGGATTTATTAAAAGTTTTGTTTTGAGGGAAAGGAAAGTCGGCTGATGAAGCACCACCATCATCACTCTTTCCATTGGCTATATATAGAAAATGGAGTTAGATGAAAAAGTTTTACACACTTGCTATAACTGGAAAGGTTCCTTTGTGAATCTTACGGATTGGCAGAAAAGAGAAGAGAATTCAGAGCTAGGATATTTAGATTCTAAGGTGAGTGTATTACACTTTGAGTATTATTTGTTTGTATACAATTCAGTAGTTATTGGAACTGGTTTACTATGATTTATATATATTTCATATTGTGCTGATTCTACTTAAACCGGAGATGTGATGTCTGGATTCTATCTAAATTGGCCGAGGTATGTCCGATATAACCAAAATCGCTCAAGTGGTAATCGGGTTAAAGGCTAAACCGCTCAAGTATTAACCGGAGAAAACCCTAAACCGCTCATGTGTCATTTGGGGAATGCCCTAAACTGGCCAAGTGTTAATCGGTTTAGAGCTAAATCATTCAAGCTATGTTCGGACTTCCTTCTTTTAAAATTCTAAGGGATTGTCCGGATTGCATATCCGGACAAAGTTGACAGGACTTCAAATCCGGCTAATATGTTGAGTTTTTTTTATATGAAATCACTCTTGTTATGTATTGGCGGTGTAACCGCGAAAGAGAGATGTAATGGAGGTGTAACCGCGAGAGAGATGTAGTGGCGGTGTAACCGCGAGAGAGATGTAATGGCGGTGTAACCGCGAGAGGAAAAAAATCTATTTAAATATAGATAAAACGTTTATGTCTGTACAGGTTGATTCTAAACTGTTTGTTTAGAAAGTATGTTATTGTATAAGATTTGTACACTCACTAGACCATTTGGGTCTAATGCTCAGTTGTTGGACTAACCTGTTTTATAAAACATCATACCTCGCAGGAGAAGGGCAAGGAGAAAGTTTAGAAATCTTGAAATTTAGTTACGCATAAATGTATTGAGAAAAGTTTTTGTTAGTCCGTATTTTGTAAACAATATTACATTATGTGTTTTGAGTAATATGATTTGGATTGTCTGTATTCGAAAATTGTGGGTTGTTACATAGAGGTTCTTATATGAAGCGTGTGCTTCGGAAAATGCAAGAGATGAAAGGGGTTTGTCGCCGGCTACGAAATTCTTATGGGTGTTTGGATAAAAAGGTGGCTCTATTAAAGACGGAACTTGATGTTGCTCAATTGGCTTGTGATCTAGACCCTTTTAATGATTTGCTAAAAGTGGACATTGCTCACCTCTTGTTAGCATATCAAAAAGCTAGAAATGATCAAATGGACATGGTTCGACAAAAACCGAAGATTTCTTGGCTTAATGAAGGGGATGGAAACTCAAAGTTTTTCTTTCATGCTATGAGAGAGAAGCGTAATAGGAGCCATATCGCTACTGTTATGGATTCTTCAGGTACTGTTTTTGAACATCATGATGTTCCAAAGGTTTTTGTTCATCATTTTGAAGGTATTCTGGGTACTTCTAATCTGTTAGTTCGACCTTCTATGGTGGATTTCTCTTTTGTTCACTCTTTATCGTTATCAGAATCTCTTCATTTAATCAGACCGATTAAGGATATGGATATTCAGACTGCTCTGTTTGATATTGGGAATGACAAAGCTCCTGGTCCTGATGGGTTCTCATCAAAGTTCTTTAAAGCGGCTTGGAATGTGGTAGGCAGGGATGTCCTTATTGCGGTACATAACTTCTTCTACTCTGGAAAGTTAGAGTACCAGTTGAATCATACGCTACTCTGCCTAGTACCAAAGGTTACGAATGCTTCTTGTGTTACTGATTATCGTCCCATTGCCTGTTGTACCGTTTTGCTGAAATGTATCAGTAAAATTATTGCTGATCGAATGAAAGGCTCTTTGGATGTTCTTATTAGCAAGGCCCAATCTGCATTCATCCATGGACGACAGATAACTGATAATATTTTAATGGCGCATGAACTGGTTGCTGGTTATCAAAAACCTCTGGGGGAGCCAAAGTGTGCGTTTAAGATTGATATTCGGAAAGCTTATGATACATTTGATTGGCAGTTTCTTCTAGAGATGCTAAAGGGGATGGGATTTCATCCAGTTTATGCTTAACTGGATAAAGTCTCTATTCACTTCGCCTACCTACTCTATTTGTGTTAATGGACAGCCGGAGGGTTTTTTTCATGGTAAGTGGGGTCTTAGACAAGGGGATTCATTATCTCCTTACTTGTTCACGGTGGTAATGGAAGGTTTATCGATGCTTCTAACAAAATGCATTGACGAGGAGGTGAATTTTGCATACCATCAAGGATGTGCTGAGATAAAGCTGACCCACTTATGTTTTGCGGATGATTTATTTATCTTTTCTCGGGGGGATGCTACCTCAGTTGAAGTGATCAAACATGCTCTACATTTGTTTGAGGACCGTTCGGGTTTGTCACCGAGTCTTGAAAAAAGTGAAGTGTTCTTTGGTAATGTGGGGTTGGATGTTCAAAACCTTATTCGCAACAACTTACCTTTTCGTCCGGGGGTGTTTCCTATTCACTATCTTGGAGTTCCTCTCTCTCCTGTTCGGTTGAAGGTACGTGATTTCAACCCTCTTGTACTTAAAATAAAATCTCGATTATTGAACTGGAAAAACAAATTTCTTTCTTATGGGGGAAGGCGACAACTCATCATCTCTGTTCTTCACTCTATGCAAACCTACTGGATGTCGGTTTTTCTAGTACCGGCAGCCACTATCCATGAAATTGAACAGCTGTTCCGTAATTTTTTATGGAATAAAGCGGAGGGTGAAATAGGCAAATGTCGTGTTTCTTGGGATAGGGTTTGTCTACCTATACAAAATGGTGGTCTTGGCACGAAAAGACTAGCGACTTGGAATCGGTGTTTACTTTTTAAACATATTTGGGACATTCTTACTCGAAGAAATACCATGTGGGTCTCTTGGATTCAGTCTCATTATATTCGGGGAAGGAATTTTTGGATTATCAAGAAGAGGAATGAATGGTCGTGGTTTCTCCGGAACCTTTTAGAGTTAAGACCTCATTGCAGACGGTTTTTTATCTACAATGTGGGAAATGGTTTATCTACGCATGCTTGGGAAGACACATGGAGTGAAGTTGGTCCCCTTATTTAACTGATGTCTTACAGATTCATAAATGGTCAGGGCTTTCATAATATAACTCTACGGTTTATGATCTAATGCAACGGTTTGGCACTAACTGGCCTGTGGAATGGATACAACATTATCCTCAGCTGCAAAGTATTACGATACCACATCCCAGTCCAATTGAGGATACTGTCAGATGGCTTGATGGTAATCATTCTAGGGAAAATTTTGAGGTTAAAGTGGCATGGCAAACATTACAAGAAGTGGGGCCGATTGTGCAGTAGTACAAGGTGGTATGGAATAAAGCATACATACCTAAACATGCTCTATGCATGTGGATGGCTTGTCAAAAGAAATTACCAACCCAGGATCGCATCAGTCAGTGGAAACATGAACCTCCGGATTTGAAATGTGTGTTCTGTAAATTAGTGATTGAAACGCACAATCACTTATTTTTTGAATGCAACTACTCGAGTAGTATTTGGGAGGTTATTAAGAAGGAAGTTGGATTAAAGAATTGTCTGAAYAAMTGGGAGGATATTCTTMACAGGGGTTTATCACAAAGGTGGAAATCATGGTCTACGGTTCAAAAACTTGGTATATCGGCTACGGTATACCATATATGGAGGGAAAGGAACAGAAAGTTTTTTGATAATTACAACCATGCTGGTGACAAAGTTGTGGAGGAGATCAAGATGCAGATTCTTCAAAGAATGGCGTGGAAGACAAGGAAGAAACTCACGAGAACCAATGACATGTGCTGATGTGGTTGATAAAGGTTTTCGGAGCTGGAAGTTGATGGTGTTTTGCGCCTTTTATTTTTTGGCTTGTTCTAATTTTATGTTTTGGTGTATTTCTCTTTGTCATTATTGGCTTCTTTTGGCTTGGTTTGTGAGTCAAAGTTGCCGTAGCGTTTCTTGCTGATTAGCTCTTTGACGGTTCTGCTTTTTCTTGTCTTTATAAAATTGCCTGGGGAATTCCCCTTTCAGTACAGTCTAGTTGGGTCAAAATGATTGTAAATGAGTCATAATTAGTATAACTACACGTTAATGCGACTAATTGAGGCATAACGGTTCTTAAGGGTCCTAATTGGTCCATTTGGTCCCAGTAGGTAGAATGTGCCTACTTCTTTTAATCGAGTCATTCGTGTCAAAATGACATTAAATGGATCATAATTAATCCAATTGGACCCAAATTGGTTTAATAGGCCCATTTCTTTATAAGGAGTCAAATTGTGTTAAAATGACACTATTTAGATAATATTTAGTTTGATCAGACCTTTTTTTTTTTTTTGAGGAAACCAGACAAATTTATAAACCATAAAGGAAGTACAGCAGAAAACCAAGAGTTAGACCACTACCAAAAAAGAAAAAAACCCAAAGACTTGGCCAACACCATATACCAAGCTACAACAAGCCAAAAAAAAACAAAGCCCAACAGACTTAAACAAACAACAGAAAATGAAAAAGAGGAGCGTAAACCAAGCTCCCCAAACCGCATGAAAAAGAGGAGCATCAACCAACACTTCTCACAGGCCTCCGCGACAACCAATCCCCACGAATTGAAAACGAATCATGAATGACTTTGATAAGTTGCAAAGATGTGCGGTGATCACCAGTAAAGAGTCGTCTATTTCGTTCCTACCAAATATAATAAACAAATGCTGCCACCGCAAGCTTCTGCATTAACCGCTTCGGACGACGACGAGAATCTGAAAGTGCTTCCAAAATAAGATCCCACGTAAGAGGGATATCCGTCAGATCTGTAATATGCGAGATACTATCCCAAACTTCACGAGCATAAGGACACTGAAAAAATAAGTGGGAATGGCTATCCATACACTGATTACAAAGAGAGCATTTTAGATCCGGTGGCTCATCCTTCCAAATCATACGATCTTGAGTAGGAAGACGCTTTTGACATGCGAGCCATAAACAGAATGAATGCTTAGGGATATGTCCAGAAAACCAAACCGCTTTGTGCCAAGGAACAACTGGGTGAGATCCCTCTAACAAAGCCCAAGCATTACTCACCGAGAAATCCGAAGCAGAAGTACGATCTTCACCCCAAAGAACTCTATCACGAACTGAATCAATCAATAAAGGTAACGGAGAGGAATGCAGCTCAGCAAACCGGCTATTCCACTCATCCGGCCAAACGCCATTCCAATTCATCAGAAGATCATGAACCGTCGTAAAAGTTGAGAAACCACAAGCATGGATAAACCGATAAGAGATAAACGCCGAAAGAGGACCACAAGAAAGCCAACTATCCTCCCAAGCATTTGTATCCCGGCCATCACCAACCTGGGTAAATAAAAATCTTCGCAATTGACTACGTAAATTTAACAGTTTACGAAATACCCACGACCAATTAGAGCTTTTCCGAACCATCTAGAAGTGCAAGGAACGAAGATTAGGACTGTACACCCAACAAACCCACAGAGAATCCCGATGCCTCACAATATCCCAAACATGTTTAGCAAGTAAAGCTCTGTTTCAAGTGGACAATCGCTTAATCCCTAGGCCGCCAGAAGCAAAAGGCCGACAAACCACATCCCAAGATAATCTACATCTACCTCGAGGATCATCCCTTGGAGCCCAAAGAAATTTCCTAAACATAGATTCAAGATCATGGATTATCCCATACGGCAATAAGAACACTGACATCCAATGAAGTTGAAGGGATTGAAGGACCGATATAATAAGTTGACGACGCCCTCCAAATGACAGGAACTTGGACTTCCAATTAAGAATTCGACCCTTCACCTTAGCAATTAACGGAGCAAAATCACATAGCTTCAGCCTAGACTGAGATAAAGGGATCCCCAGGTATCGGACTGGAAAAGAACCAAGCTTAAAAGGAAGACACTCTAGAATAGCCTCCTTTATGTTCGGAGGCACATTACCAAAGTAAATTTCACTCTTTCCAAGGCTTGGGGCTAATCCCGAACGATTCTGGAAAAGAAATAGTGCCTTTTTTAGCACTTCCACCGATAAGACATCCCCTTTAGTAAACACAAATAAATCATCAGCGAAACAAAGATGAATCAAATCTAACTCCTCACAACCCCGATGGTACCCAAAATCAGCTGCTTCGATAATACATTGCTTAAGAAGCATAGAAAACCCCTCCATCACTATCGTGAAAAGATAAGGGGATAAAGGATCCCCTTGTCTAAGACCCCTCCCTCCATGAAAAAACCCATAGGAATTACCATTGATCACAAGTGAATAATAGGTGGTAGACACCATTTCCCTTATCCATTTGATCAGAACCGGATGGAAACCTAAACCTTGAAGCATAACACAAAGGAAACGCCAGTCCACAGTATCATAAGCCTTTTTGATATCAATTTTGAACGCACATCTAGGTGGCCCCGAAGAAGTCTTGTACCCAGAAACGAGCTCATGAGCCATAAGAATATTATCCGTAATCCGCCTACCGGGAATAAAAGCCGATTGGGCTCTATCTATTAAGGAATCTAAAGATCCCTTCATTCTGTTAACAATAACTTTACTAATACATTTGTAAAGCACTGTACAGCAAGCAATAGGCCGGTAATCCGTAACCCTAGATGCATTAATAGATTTAGGGAGGAGGCATATAAGAGTATGATTCAAATTCTTCGGGAGATTACCTCGATAAAAGAAATTGTGGATAGCAGTCTGCACATCACGACCAACAATATCCCACGCAGCCTTGAAAAACTTGGAAGAAAAACCATCAGATCCTAGAGCTTTATAATTACCATTGCTAAACATAGCATCTTTAATTTCATCATCTTGAATCGGCCGGATCATGTAATTAGCTTCCGATAAAGAAAGCTTCCTCATGAAGAGATTTTCAGGCATGGATGGATCGGGGGAAACATACGTCATACCTAAGAAATCTTGAAAATGATCAACAAACACTTTCGGGACATCTTCTCCATAGAGGTAATCACCACCACTAGTACAAACCGAGTGAATGGAATTGGAGTAATTCCGCTCTTTGAGCACCTTATGGAAGAATTTTGTATTCATATCACCTTCATTCAACTAATTAATTTTGGCCCGTTGTTTAGCAGCACATTCCTCATCCCAACAAGCATTCTGATACGCTAAACGAATATGACCAAGCTCAAGACCCAGCTCAATATTAGAAGGGTCTTTATCTACATCCATTTGAATGCGATCTAATTCAGTCTTCAACAATACGACACGTTGACCAAGGTTGCCATAAGAATTCCGAAGCTTACGAAGCGGAGTCTTGAGCGCCTTCAAGTGGGTAGTTACACGAAACATAAAAGTGCCCTCAATATGTTTAACCCATTCGTCTTTAACGACTTGTAAGAAAGCTGGGTGGTCTGTTAAGAAATTGTCGAATTTAAACCCGTACCTCTTTTTCCGAGCTCCACCTTTGAAAGATAAGACCACTGGCGAATGGTCCGAAAGGCCCGAAGGATGAACCCGAACACTGGCATCATGGAATTTAGACGTAAACTCCGAATTAGCCATAACCCTATCAAGTTTTCGCATGATACCCCCTTCTGAGTTTGGTTTTTGGTTCCAGGTAAAATGAACACCAGTGTAATGTAGATCAAAAATTTCAACATCCTCAACGCACATAAAAAAAATCAAAGTTCGCATTACGGCGAGAAGACCCACCAAACCCATCATGTGGAAATAACATAGTATTGAAGTCCCCCATTACAACCCACGGGTTAGAACCAATCAAAACTTTAAATTTCCGTAATCCCGACCATAACTCTCTTCTGGTATTACAAACATTAGCCCCATAAACCAGAGAGAGATAGATATAATCTTGAGCACCCCGATAAAAGACCTTACAATTAAGGAATTGACTATGGGCCTCCAAGACCATAATGTCTAACACACTAGAATCCCAAGCTAAGATAATGCGAGTTCCAACCTCACACATAGCTTGATTAGTCATCCAATACCAACGACCAAAAGAACTAGCGCAAACACTTTCTAAGGAATCTTTAGCCACATGCGTTTCTACAATGGCACATAAACTTAAATTGTTACAATGAATAAAATTCCTCACCTCTTTTTGTTTGACCGGAGAGTTGAGCCCCCGGTTATTCCACGAAGCAAAATTCATCATGATGATGAGGTTTGAACATCCCCTTGATCTCGATTATCCTCATCCACATTTTGCACAACAAGAATTTTTCCATCACCATCATGAGAGTCCAATTGAGACTCCTCTCCCCCTAACGTATCAAGAACTCCAAATCTGTTAGAAGCTTCCATAGGGTCTTTCATAACCCCCCTTCGTGGCAACCGGAAGTTCTTTATTACAGAAGAAATAAGAGGAGTAGAAGTGGTCATAGTATGAGTAGATTGGGAAGACTGGGAAGAAGAGGCCCCAGAACCAGCATTCATACCTGAATACTAGAAGTATGTCTCTATGGTGACCAATCGGGGGTACATTACAGGTAGTCACATTCTTTTCCTTTACCTGTACGCGTCGTAAAGAATTCTCAACCAAGGCCGAAGCACTAGGGCCAGCCTTCTCACTCCCATTGACTTGTCGGTTACCAGATTGAATAGGCTTTCCTCCAGATTTAGCACGCCCTTGTTTTTTCTCCACTCTAATAAACCCTTCTGAGTCTTTTCTCACATCAACATGCTTCCCCTTATTTAGACTTGCAACTTTTACACAGGACGAGGTTTTGTGACCAAATATTTGGCAATGTGAGCATTGAATTGGCTCCCACAAGTATTCAACCTGTATTTGTACACTTTCAGTAGCCCCACCATTTATGTCTGGAATTTCAACCTCTATTTTTCTTTTTAGTTCCCCAATAGCCCAGACCTCAACTAGCACTTTAGCAAAACCGGGTTGACCCCAAGCCTTCTCACACATGGCAGCAGTACAAGAATCCATCTGCTTAGGGACTCCCAATACACTCGCTATGCGACTAACACCTTCTCTATTAAACGCAACCAGAGGTATGTTATGCAATTTCACCCACAATGGATAAGAGGTATGTTTAGGTTTCCTCAATCCCATAGAGGGATACCAGCGATGGACAAAAAGAGGGATACCCCTTATCATTAACGGCCCAGCTTCAATCACCTGATTACACCCTCCAACATCATTAAACTTGAAGAAGAAGATCCCATTCTCATTTAACATTGCATCCTTGAAACCATACTTTCCCCACGTCGTTCTGACAAAATTCTTCACTAAGGGAAAAGGGATGCGAGGGCCCAGAAAATAACCATACAGAACCGAATTGTACGCTTTGGCAGCTTCCTTAGCCATTTCCATAGGTATTTTCACATTAACGTCCTTTTTATCAGCCAAAGGATAATAGTTGAGATCCGTGGCAAGTGAATGTCCCACCGCTTTGGCAAAATTTAATTTATCTTTACCACTCGAAGCATTTTCAAGAGAGGAAAGTCTCTCAAAAATAGAAATTCTGCTAGGATCAGAAGGTAAAGGAGCCGATTCATCCCCCATTTCCATTGTCCACTCTAAGAAGCCGAGGTGCTGAAACTAACGTTTAGCGCCCTTAAGAGGATAGACGAAGACCCCGAAAAAATCAAGGTGCTGAATATCAATCAAGGGAATTCAACATAAGTGACGATGACCACGGAAACACTTCGAATGGACTTAGAAAACAGAAAATAAAACAGCACAACAAGCACAGCAAAACGTGAACCACCGCCTTACCAAAACAGTATTAAAACCGAAGAAACCCTTTCGAAGAGCCAGTAAACAGCAGCAGAGAAGGAGTAAAACAGCAACACCCTACACCCGACAACTAGCAGCAATGATTAAAGCACACCAACAGCCCTGCAAACTATAGTAAAATATTCCAATAGCAGATAAAACAAACTCTGACTAGAATGCGGAACGAAGCCAACAAGAAGAATCCAACCACGAGTCAGCACAGCAGAACAACCAGAAGTCTGACGGAAAAACAACAGCATAAACGAGAAACCAACAACAACTCTAAACTGCCAGAGAAAGCCCGTAAAGAAACAAACAGCAGTTTAGTAAAAAACCACATAAAATGATAGAAGGTCTAACATAAACCCTCTTGCCAGCAGCAAACCAATAACTAGCATCCACACAGCCAGCCAAGAAGAAGAAAACTGCTTTCTAACAACTACCCAATAGAACAGCAGTGAACAGGCACACAGCAGCAGTGAAAAGCCACAAAACCCAGATCAGCCGCAAGTATCAGCCTGGAAAGAACAGTCACGAGGAATGCTAACAACAAATAGCAGCACCCAGACACACCCGCAGAGAGAAAGCCTCAAAATAATCAGAAGCCTCAAAACAAACCCAGCAGAAGTAAAAACACAACCAGCAGCAAAACTAGGCAAAAACAACCTTTAAAAAAATCACAGCAGCAGGAGCAGAAGGCTGT